AGCCAGCACTTATTGCACATCCCTATTTGCTCAGAAAACAGTTAAGAGTCGACCACATTACTGTGGGCCTGGAGTCATATATGGGCCAGACCAGGTAAGGATGGCAGTTTCCTTCCCTAAAGGACATGAGTGAAGCAGATGGGTTTTTCTGACGGTCGACAATGGATTCATGGTCATCATTAGACTCTTAATTTCACAGTTTTGTTGAATTCCAACTCCACCATCTACCTTGGCGGGATTCAAAACTAGGTTAAAAACCAAAAGAACTGAAGATGCTGTAAATCAGGGACAAAAACAGACATTGCTGGAAAAGCTCAGCAGGTCTGGCAGCACCTGTGAAGAGAAAATCAGAGTTAACATTTTGGCACCGGACTCAAACGTTAACTCTGTTTTCTCCTTCACAGATGCTGCCAGACCTGCTGAGCTTTTCCAGCAACTTCTGTTTTTATTCAAAACTAGGTTCCCAGAACATTAGCTGGATCTCTGGATTAACAGTCCATTGATAATACTATTAGGCCTTGATTTTTCTGACACTGCAGGGGTCACTGCTGAGCACAGACCTTGGAGGTGTGCGCAAGAGAAAAATTAAGGGCGGATATTGATCTCAAGGATTTATTGAACAGATTTGATAGAATGTTTGTTCTGAGAATGTTACATTAGACACTTTTCAACTCTCTCTGATCCATAAGAAATCAAATGGATGTTTGTTACCTTTTTTTTAATTTGGCATGCACAAAAACTAAAATGCCTACAGAGCTACTAAGATAAGTTTCTTGTTTAATTTAGTGTCTTATAAAATATGTACGTGATATGAAGGCGATAGTTGACTTACATAAGCACAATATTACAACGTATGTCACTTTGGTCTCTTCGGAGGAAAAGGAAAACTAATAACAAATAGAACTCCAAAGTCAGTTCCTATTTTGAAGTTTGGACATCTGGTCAATAGCCTGTTACAGGTTTATGCAGAAGTCTGTGTCTTGTGTATGGATGTGTTAACTTAATTGAGATTGTGTGGTAAATTTCCCATCGATTAATGTTTGTGGCATAGAACCATGACAAATACTAGGAGATGAATTTGTTTTACCAGAAATTGACTAAGTTTAAATTTTGGGGAATTTCATGGAGGGTTTCTCTTCACCAGGTCTAGCCAGTTTAATCATGCTACCTTCCCAAACTCGCCTCATTGGCTATGCCTCATGCCCCATGGCCCTCTGTTCGTCATTTTCTCTCACCTGTTACATGTGGAAGCACTGGTCACTGCCAGGACTTCTGGGATTCCTAGTGGCAGAGCCATCCCAAAAGACTAACTATGTACCTGGTTAAGCACGGGCAATCTGTAGCTGTTCTTCACAGTGCCTGTCAATTGTCCCACATTCTGCTCTGCCTGGAGGTCCTAGTGGATGGGGTCATGTAGAGCCCTGTCCACTGAGCATACCCAGAGATGTTGGTGACTTGTGTCTAAGATGGATGGCTGGAGAAGCAAGGGGCGAGCTCAAGTTACCAGGTTACTGCTCTGACTTTCCTGTTTGGAATTGTCATTTAGCTTCTATCCAGTGGATGAGAAAATGTATGAAGCAAGATGATGCAATAAGAAAAATGTTATTTCATGCTAATGTATGCAGATAGGCCTCTCACCGCTCGCTAATGAGAATTTTGGCTTCCCATTCAACACTTGGTAGGAAATTGGGAATTTCCATTCTTGAACTCAAGAAGCCCCTCTCTGGCCATTTGATGTGATTCTGTCAACTTTCTCAGGATTCCCAGCATCATTCAGGGACTGTGAAGATTCCACCATAGACGATCAGCAACTGTCGCTGAGCTTCTATGCAGCACATTAGTACCATAGACAAATCTATGACTTACCTATTTGCTTAGCCTTGAATGGTCTCCCTGGCAACATTATGAGATCAAGCCAGTTTGCTCACAATCTTCATGTGATAAGAAATTCTGAGGCAAGCATCTGACTTAATAGGCATGCCACAACTAAGTCTATTTCTACCTCAGGATATCACTCAATTTAACCTCTGTTTAGCTCTTCTGCTTTGAAGCCCTAATCCAGGCTTTCACCAACTCTAGATATTACTATTCCAGCTTCTCACATTTTACCATTTGCAAACTTGAAGTCATCCAAAGTAAAAACATCCTTAATTCAAAGCAAATCTCATATGCCATAAGTCTTTTGTTCGCTGTCCTACATTAGAGCAGTGATGTCAAAAAAAAGTTTTGATTTAAAAATTCCCATCCTTGTTTTCACATCTCTCCATAGTTTTGACACTTCCTTGTAATGACTTTCCACTCCACATCCTTCCAAGATTTCCATGCTGCTCTAATTCCAATTCTTATTCACTTCCTGTTAAAACTGTTCTACCATTGATGGTTGCAACATGCCATACCTAAGCCACAAGCTTGAGAATTCTTACCCAACACTCTCCGCTTCTTTGCCTTTCATTCTTCCTTTAGGGCACTTCTTCTTTATTCATTCACAGGATGTGGGCATCACTGCTAGACCAGCACTTATTGCCCATCCCTAATTGCCCAGAGGGCAGTTAAGAGTCAAAATTGCTGTGGGTCTGGAATCAGATGATAGACAAATGAGGTAAGGATGGCAGTTTCCCTCCCTAAAGGACACTTGAAGAGATGGATTGTTCGAACAATCGATAATGGATTCATGGTCATCAATAAACTCTTAATTCCAGACTTTTGTTGAATTCAAATTCCAACATCTGTGGCAGGATTCGAACCTGGGTCACCAGAACAGTACCTGCATCTCTGGATTAACAGTCCAGTGACAGTACAACTAGACCACCACCTCCCCAAATTTACTCATTTGAAAAGACTTTTGGTCATCTGACCTAACATCTCTTTAAGTGACCAGGTGCCATTCTTTTCTGTACTGCTTCTGTGAAGTGTCAAATTGTTGTTGGGAATCAAACATGGGTTTATTCTGGTCTTACTTTTTGTTTTCTATTTATATTGTGGGATGTGGGCGTTGCTGGCTGGCCAGCATTTCTTGCTCATCCCTTGTTGCCCTTGAGAAGGTGGTGGTAAGCTGCCTTCTTGAACTAAATGCTATATGAGCCAACATTAAACATGGAACAAGTTCAAGCACAACATTTTGTGGGTCATATACATTGTAAATTATAGTTTGGGGTTGCCTTAACCAGATTTTTTTAAACATATAATTACTCTCTTTGTATTTTTTATACTTCTAGGTGCAGCATGTAGGGTACACGATGTTGAGTATGGAGTGCACTGCTACTGATTAAGAAGATTGCGCCGGAGTGCCACACAAGGGAATCCTTTTTACAACCAAGACTTACTACAACTCATACATTCTGGCATCTGCCAGACAGCGCTGCTCCATTACTTGCACACAAATTCTGCTTCCTGCTTCAATGTGTTTTACCAGCATCACTTGGAAAGCCACAAACTTTTGTTACCAGTGCAGATTTTGTGCAGACAAGAGAGCGGATTAAATGTTCAATAGCACTGAATCTTTGATTCATGCCTACAGCTGCTAAGGTTTCAAACCAGTTGCATCAATATTTTCAATATATTGACAGCCTTAGAAAAGCTTACAACAACTTTTGCCACCATTTGCATCCATTTAGCTTTAAGCAGCACATGCTTTTAATGGCCTCTTCCTTCACTGATGAATTCTCTATAGTATCAGTCAAGTATTTTATATGAAAAAGCCATTATGCTTAATCTTGGAAAATTCCTGGGATTTGGTTTTGGAGAGAAGGTTGTTCCTGTTACTTTAGCATCAAAACTGAAAAAAAAACTGCCATGCCTGCAATAGTATCTACGATTCAATGTGATAACAGCAGTGCAAAGTAAAATTAATAGTTAACTGCATTAACTGGACATGGTGAAATCTTCCAAATTGCATTGCACAACTGCCGATAATGTATTCAAGCAAAGATAAATAGGAAGGATGTTGTACCATGGTCAACATTGGAATTATCCATCTCCTGGACCCAACATCATGAGGCACTCACAACAGTGCCTTTCAATTGGTTGAGATAAGGAAGTCAACAGCATGCTCAATGGGAGTAAGATATGCCACCTGTTGTCACTTCCGCTGATTAAATTGCTGCGCATTTACAGCGATTTCTGTCCTGTTTCATACATCCAACATATTTGATGTGCTTTCCACTAAGCTTGGACTGCTTGACAGAGATGACTGACTTCATCTGAAAAAGACTCAGATTTACATATTTTTGGTACAGTACTGTTTAACTGTTGTTTCCACTTCCATTTAACCTGTTACTGTCCTTTTCTGGTCCTTTACAGCTTTCAAATATTGCTGGGCGCGAGATTAAAATGATATTAATGCATTTCCAGCAGGTGCCGCATTTTACCTTTTGTTAAATTTGATCTGCCTTACATTCTGAAAATAAACCCTTAGTGAATTGAGTACAGCCCCTTCACATGTTTTAAGGCATGGACACATTGTGAAAGTTTATGCTTCCCTGAGCAATAAAAGCTCTGTTCAAAAAGATTTCAGAATAATCTAATCTCAGTTCCTGATCGGGACAGGTTTGTGGAACAAAATTTTCAAGTGAGAAAAGCAAAATTGACCAGCACATTATGGTCAGCAATGTCAAGAAGATATCATCATATTTTATCAAGATAAAATAAATGATTCTGATTTTGTCACCGATGTTGTGTTCTACTTTATAAAAAACATGATGAACTTTTATAATATCAACCGGTGTTGTTATAAATTCATGATGGTTATCTACTTCAAGCATTGCTTTCATTTCTGGAAAGCCCTTGGCATAGCTACTGAATGTTGTTTCATAATAAGCAAAGCAATTGTACAATTTGAGAAAATATCACTGCACAAATTCCACTGGACTACTTGGCTTTAGGAGTTTTTAATCAGGCTCCCAGGGCAGATTACATCTGTTTTTCACAGTAAAAAAAAAGGAAACATTGAAAAGTGATGATCTACCATTCAACTTCATGCTTGTTACTACACTGTGACTTACCTTGGAAGAAACACTCTTTGTTGTCTACAATGTGGATTCTCTTCCTCTGTTGGCAGGCAGTACGATGCAGTTCGCAGTGATTCTCATAAAACTTCCCATCAGAGCCACAAACCGGTACATAATTGGGCTTGCATTGATGTATGCACACACACTCTGGCAGCTCAGTCTCTTTACTTACGATACACTGTTGCCCACGGCCACAATAGTTCTTTTCACAAGCTCCATAAAGACCATCATGGCCATAGTACACTATAGAAAGAAAAGAAATTATAAAGTTAAGTCTCCATGTGGAAAGCATCAAAAACTCTCACAGAACTGCAAAGTGGCCAGTGTTTGATAGAGACTGTACTTTTCATTGCAAAGTATATTTATACATGTAACTTTGTCCGCTGAAAGATGCTGGGCTTTTATCATGAAGAATGAAACTTCTACAGATTTAAAATTCTTTTCTGGATTAAACATTTCTAGTGCACATTAGGTATTACTGTTAACTATGGTTCAATGAGAGCAATCTTGCCTGAATCAGAAGTTTGTGTGTTCAGGCCCCACCCTAGACTCTTGAGACACAATCCAGACTTTCACCTGAATGCGATACTTGCCTCTGGCTCCAGTCCTAAGTCAAAGACAAATTCTGCCCTCTCAGTTGGTTTAAAAGGTACTGCTGCACTACTTTGAGAGTTCTCCCCACGTTCTGACTAATACCTAACCCTCAAAAACAGATTATCTGGTCATTGTCTTATTCTTTAAAAGAACTGATCATTGACTTCAGGAAGAAAGGAAGAGGACACACCCCTATCTTTTTCAATCAAGCTGAGGAGGAGCGGGTCGAAAACATCAAGTTCCTAGGAGTGATTATAACTGACAACCTGTCCTGGACCTCCCACATAGATGTGGCAGTCAAGAAGGCACAACAATGCCTCTTTTTCCTTAGGCAGCTTAGGAAATTTGGCATGCCCATAAGGACACTCACCAACCTTTATAGATGCACATAGAAAGCATTTTATCAGGTGCATAACAGTCTGGTACACAACTGCTCTGCCCAGAACTGTAAGAAACTACAGAAAGTTGTGTGCACAGCCCAGACCATCATGGGGGCCAGGCTCCCATCCATGGACTCCATTTACATTTCTCATTGCTGTGGAAAGGCTGCCAACATCATCAATGACCTCTTCCATCTTGGTAATGCTCTCTTCCAATGTCTTCCATCGGGCAGAAGATACAGAAGCTTGAACATTGCACCAACAGGTTCAAGAACAGCTTATTCCCTGCTGTTACTGCACTGCTGAATGGACCTCTCTAACTTCGAATAATGTTGATCTTGTTAATGTTGATCATGCTTTGTGCACCTTCTGTGCAGTCTTAACCTTGTATGCCTCACTCTGCCTAGCACCCTATGATCTGTACGTCCTTGTTTGCCAAGCGGTGCCTGTCCTGCTCACAAAACATAGCTTTTCACTACATTTAGGTACATAGAACATAGAACTTAGAACATTACAGCGCAGTACAGGCCCTTCGGCCCTCGATGTTGCGCCGACCTGTGAAACCAATCTGAAGCCCATCTAACCTAAACTATTCCATTGTCATCCATATGTTTATCCAATGACCATTTAAATGCCCTTAAAGTGGGCGAGTCTACTATTTTTGCAGGCAGGGCATTCCACGCCCTTACTACTCTCTGAGTAAAGAACCTACCTCTGACATCTGTCCTATATCTATCACCCCTCAATTTAAAGCTATGTCCCCTCGTGCTAGCCATCACCATCCGAGGAAAAAGGCTCCCACTGTCCACCCTATCTAATCCTCTGATCATCTTGTATGTCTCTATCAAGTCACCTCTTAACCTTCTTCTCTCTAACGAAAACAGCCTCAAGACCCTCAGCCTTTCCTCATAAGACCTTCCCTCCATACCAGGCAACATCCTGGTAAATCTCCTCTGCACCCTTTCCAATGCTTCCACATCCTTCCTATAATGCGGTGACCAGAACTGTACGCAATACTCCAAGTGCGGCCGCACCAGAGTTTTGTACAGCTGCAACATGACCTCATGGCTCCAAAACTCAATCCCTCTACCAATAAAACCTAACATACTGTACGCCTTCTTAACAACGCTATCAACCCGGGTGGCAACTTTCAGTGATCTATGCACATGGACACCGAGATCTTTCTGCTCATCCACACTACCAAGAATCTTACCATTAGCCCAGTACTCTGTATTCCTGTTACTCCTTCCAAAGTGAATCACCTCACACTTTTCCGCATTAAACTCCATTTGCCACCTCTCAGCCCAGCTCTGTAGCTTATCTATGTCCCTCTGTAACCTGCAACATCCTTCCGCACTATCCACAACTCCACCAACTTTGGTGTCATCCGCAAATTTACTAACCCATCCTTCTACGCCCTCATCCAGGTCATTTATAAAAATGACAAACAGCAGTGGCCCCAGAACAGATCCTTGAGGTACACCACTAGTAACTGAACTCCAGGATGTACATGTGACTATAATAAATGAAATCAAATCAGTTTGACTGCTGCTTTTCCTAATTTATTGCTAAGTAACAATTACTGCTAAGTGCACTTTAAAAGTGTTTCATTTGATATAGTGTTATACGAATGCAGAAAATCCAAAGTCTAAAATGCACCATTAGTGTCCATGTGACACTTCCACTTCCTACACTAGCATTGGTTGTGAGCAAGGTCATTGATTGGGTTATCAAACTAGGAGAAATTGGTATTGTGAAGCTCTATCCACAAGTTAAACAACAAATTAATTCACAAGGTTGTGAGCATTCTAAAATCATTCTAATTAAAACTCACTTTCAGCAGGGAAAATAAATTATCACCTTGACCAACAGGTTAAGGATTAGCACTCCACTCCCTTTAAGTTATCTTTAAAATTATGAAACAACTTAAACCTAACCTAAGGAAAAATACTCCAACTGCTGGAAATCTGAAATAAAAGCAAAAATCTGGAAATCCGAAGCAGTTCAGCAGGAGTCATTAGAGAGAGGCAGAGGGTGGGTAGCTGATGAGGTTATCACTGCCAGCTGGAGGACTAATGACAAATCTGCATCACTTCATTTTTTTGAAGGTTTGCTGTGGTAAGTACCACTCACTTAACTGGACAATGGGGACCCTCTTTGAAAATAGGAACGCTGAAGGATCACTGCAAATCACAGGTCCATAGCCTGACTGAATGACAGTTCCACTGGGAGCGGTTACTCAGCAAAGGCCTAGGGTCCTGGACAAACAGGTGAGTGATAGAGGGTAGGGGTTGTAGAATGAGATTCATGGGGGAAGGGGTAGGCGATTTAGTAACAAGGGAAGGTGGCTGGCTCTCAACAGGGGCACGCAGCACCCACTCCCTCATCCAATTTCCAATTCCTCATTCTTCAACCAGACGTTGGTTGCCTTTGAATAAGAGACTGACTGCAACTCTACATGAGTTTGCTTGTTATGCTCACTGCATGGTAACCCACCCAAACCTGCCTCTGGGTTAATACTAACAGGGATGAAATGAGAGGGCACTAACTACACATGTAAGCAGTTCAATTGGTGGCAAGAAGGGAATACCATCCAAGGCCTTTTCCTCCATGGACCTCGCCAGAGCAGAGGTGGGACAGTGGTGGGGTGGCCAACTGCAGCACTTCAACTTGATTAAATGCCCTCACACACCACCAAGCTCACCGTGGGAAGGGCATTATATTCCAACCAGAGTTAATGTCTCAGATTGATGACTGTTCATGACAAGTAGAAAAAGTTAGTGATGCAATTATAATTTAATGATATGATCTGCTATCCAGGCAATTTTTGTTTTTCTCACTAGGTCACAAAAGAAAGCCTATGAATAGAATTGAAAGCTATAGTCACCAAAGGTAATCAACATTAGGATGTGTCTTGAGGCATTTGATAACAAGTCATGTTGTTAGTCATTGGTGCAACTCTATTTGAAATGTTAATATTGTCTGCTATCTTCAGTAGAACACTGATGTATTGGAAATGGGTTAAAAGACAAAGGACTAAGATTATGCCAGATCTAGTTTTTAAATTTCAAGGGCAGGTTCAAAACTCAATTTGTTTCCATCACAGAATATAAAATTGAAGGGATAGGGGAATGCAAGGGTCATAACACACACATTTAAAATCCTGAGGTACAGTTGACATAAACATAAAAAGGCTTTGAACACATAACAAGAAAATACAGGCTTAAAATTAACAAGCCTGAAATGAGGTTAATTAGAAGAATTTCCACTCTACAGACTAATGAATAAATAGGAGGGCTTCCCATCAAATGCAGTTAATGATGCATACCTCCTAAAATGAGCTAAACTAATATCTGGTTGAGAATGGGCTTACAGATTTTGGAAATCAGTTTTGACTAAAATGATCAAACAGTAAATGAAACATAATGGTCCATGAGTGAGAGGGGGAACAAACTAGATATTTTTTTGTATATGCAAGGCAGCAGGGGACAGTCACATAATGAGATGTCAGAAACATAGAAAATAGGAGCAGCAGTAGGCCATTTATTCTGTTCATGACTGATCATCCAACTCAATTGCCTGTTCCCTCCTTTCCTCCCATCCTTAAATCCTTTAAGACCCAAGCGCTATATCCAACTCCTTTTTGAAATCATACAATGTTTTGGCCTTGACTGCTTTTTGTGGTAGTGAATTCCACAGGCTTATCATTCACTGGATGAAGAAATTTCTCCTCATCTCAGTCTTAAATGGTTTACCCTGTATCCTTAGACTGCGGCCCTGGTTCTGGATTCCCCTGCCATCAGGAACGTCTTTCTACACCTCCCCTGTCTAGTCCTGTTAGATTTTTATATGTTCTGTGAGATTCCCCTCCTCATTCTTCTGAACTCCAATGACTTTAATGCTACCTGATTCAACCTCCCCTCATATGTCAGGAATCAGGCTGGTAAACCTTCATTACACTCCTTCCATAGCAAGAGCATGCTTCCTCAGATATGGAGGCCATAACAGCACACAATATTCCAGGTGTGGTCTCACCAAAGCCCCGTATAATTGCAGCAAGACATCTTGTACTTGTCACTCTCCATCTTAATGAAGAATTCAATCATTCCATTCAATGGTTCCTTTCTCATTACACACCTAGTCTAGCATGACGTGTTCACTAGTTGGTTCCTCAATGGTCTAGAAAACATTCCTTATATACTCCAGAAATTCTTCCTCTATTGCATTGTTACTGATGTAATTTGCGCAAGCTATATGCAGATTAAAGTC